AAAAAAAAAAAATGCTCTATGTTCACAGCTGATTTTTTTTACTAATTTGTTTCCCAATAAGCAGGGATGCATAGAAGAGTGAGTTTAAAAATACACTGAACGATATTTTATGAATGAATGTCTGTGATAGGGCATTGGTACTACCAGAATGCTACTTTAAGTAAAGCAAAATTCCAAACTCTAAAATTTCTACTTTCCTCCTTGAACAAATTTTGATGCACGCTGTGCTTACGCAAATTTCTGAAATGCTACATATTAAACCTGTTCCAGTCTTGAGGAGTATTAAACATTTTATTTAAAGATTTTAAAGTAAAAAAAGGGTACACAAATACAGATTACATTATGATGACCAAGGCAGTATTCTACATGACAAAAATCAAAACAGAACAAAATTTAAAAAGTAAATATACAGGTACCAAACAAGCGTAATACCTGATATGCAATTCAGGCTGCATACACATAAAATGATCTGACCACAGACATGCTTATGCAAAATAAGTTTTTTCTTAGAACACCAAAATTCCAACCATTCTGTCAACTGCCTTATTCCCGTTGAGTATTTTGAAAGAACTTCTATATAATATAAAAGGAATTGGCATGGCACTTAAAAACTACAAAAAACAGAACACAATTAAAAACATATTTGTAATGCAATTTTGTATAAAATATACACGGTAAATCTTATTAGTTAAAAAAAATATTTAAAAACAAAAGACCACCCTGAATAATGGTTAAAACCTCATCACAGAAAAATGTTCATCATTTGTAACATTACTGATAGAAAATAGATGGGATTTTGGGGGGAGGGGAGATATCTAACTTGAAGAAGTCATTCAAAATTTATTTAAAATTGTAGATAAGATAGTAACTCACTGCCTACCCCTTTCTCAACACTTATCATGAATATTCTAATATATAACTACAGGACAAAATAAAAGAATAGCTCAAAGAAAGTGTTTCTCAAAATAAGGTCCAAAGACCCAAAAGAATTCTAAGGTGGGCCCAGCAATGTGCATTTTAAACAAATGTCCCAGGTGATTGTTCCCCATTCTAAAATTTGAGAACTAATGCCCTAGGGAAACAGTACCACTTAAAAGCAAGATCATAAATATATTTCTGATATGTCCAAATTTTCTATGAGTTTATGGTTTGCAGTGAATTCTGTTTCTTTAAACAAGTTTCAGGTATTAAGAAAAACATATATACCTGTTACATAAACATGGGAATGTATATAAACGTTTTCCTTTGAGGTTTTCATTGCTTTCAGATTTAGTTATTTCAAGAAAAATGAGTATATGGCCAGAAACTTCAGAAAAATTATATTTCTAATAAAATGTAGCATCCAAAAGAGATAATTTATTAAATGCCTATAAATTTTAAATCATTCTAAATTTAAGACTAGATAGCTTTCCCCAAAATTCAATTTTACTAAGATTAGACAGTAACTTAGATGATTATGGTTACTTTTTACATCCCTTTATATTAAAAAAAATATTCAAAATAAACAGATGCTATCATTGGCATCCCTTTAAATAATAAATTGCTAAACACTAATATTAATAAAAAATAATCTGAAGAACTCTGCCCCTGAAATGTATTCCACTTTTTACATGTGTTACCTACTTAATAAAAACTCACTTAAGGAGCTGGAACTGTTGGGTATGTACGTGCATGTCCTTAATATTTATTCATGTGTACCTTATTTTTTAAAATTTCACTGAAGACTCCATAAGCAGGGTCCAAAAGTATGGATAATGGGGCTTTGGTGAAGAAGTGAGTATGTTTAAGTGAGTATGGTTAAGACACTATTTGGAAGATAAATACTTTTTCTGTATACTAAATTATAAGGAAAAAATAGCATACGTTCTGTCTCCACTGGATAATGGAATGCTTTTACAAGTCTGATAATGACTGCTTCCTTATTATCTAAACCAAATCACAAAAAATAACTGTGGGATTTGCTAATAAGGAAATAAATCTCACAATCTTACTTTACGGTATCTATTTTAAATTTCTATTTTTTCCCTTTCTATATACTGAAAAATGCTACATTCAAATGCATCCTGGGCTCTTTGAGTGACATTTATTAACATTCCAGTTAAAGTTCTGGCTAAAGGGGTAAGCTCAGAAGCTAATGCCCATATACTAAAGAAATCACTCTAATCAGTTTTTCAAAAACAGCTAATGATTTGGAATCTGATACTTAATACAATATGCCCGTTTTTTCCCTCAAGGAGAATTTGTATCCCTAATTCTAAGCAAGCAACGACATCTTTTATTACCAGTTTAATAACTGTTGCCTTAAAAATCAATAATTTAATTATCCAAGGCAATAAAATTTACAACTGAATTTTTAAACACAACTCAGAAAGTAATAGGTAATATAATAAATTGTTGTTTTTTGAATTATTCTTTTATATCAAAATTAAACACTTCAAGATGAAGTGAATGAAGAATGACAAAAAAATCACGGGAGGCTTACGACGTAATCCCACCAGGTGCCTTAATGCAACGGATATGCTGTTTAAAGGCAGTGTAAGTATTTCCTTTAAACAAAAGGACGACTTCATTACTCATCAGTAGGCTGCTGGATTACCAGTATAGTTAAGTGTTGACACGACTGTCTGGAAACTAGTTTCATTTTCTTTTTCATAGTTAGATGTAATAATTGACTCTTACAGCCAATAACAGAAGATATTGAGTGCTTTTTTGTAGGTGAAAAATATAAAATGGTTCATGGTATCCAGGCTGGTAACAAGTTTATTCATGCATTAAATGGCAACACAAGCAAAATGCATAGTTGGAAAATGAGGATCAGACACATTCTTCTGCAGACATCAAAAGAGGATTGATGTACTCAAAACCTTCGAATTCAGACTGATCAATCTTCCTCACGATGTCACTGTTGAGAGAAGAATAAATTAATTTTCATAATCTAGATTTCTTCAACTTTTTACTTAATTGGTAAAATAAAATGGAAAAAAAAAAAAAGCAGGGGCGCCTGGGTGGCTCAGTTGGTTGGGTGTCTGCCTTCTGCTCGGGTCATGAGGTTCTGGGGTTTTGGGATTGAGTCCCGCGTTGGGCGCCCTACTCAGTGGGGAGCCTGCTTCTCCCTCTGCCCCTCCCCCCAGCTCATGCTGTCAAATAAATAAAATCTTAGGAAAAAAAATAACAAAAAAACAAAAAAATAAGGCTAATTTACACAGATTATGGGGGAAAAAAATCTCTTAAGTGTTTAGATTAGTTCCAAAACATTTTCTAGAAGAATCAAGAATACTGAAAATAAAAGAAGACTAACAATCCCACAGGCAAGTTTGGAACTAAAAGGTGGTCCAAAATTGAAGGCTAGGAATAAAAAAGTCACAAACTGTCACAAGTCTAGTTAATTTTAACTTTTGACCTGAACATTCGTATTTATAGGTAAACATCCAGGTCTGAATTAGCATTCAATTTAGTCATCACCTCAACAGGAAGATGGTGACAAGGCCCAGGAGAAGTTAACTGAAAGGAAAAGGCAACAGAGACAGGTACACAGACCTGAAATAAGGAGCGGATACTGCAGGGAGGTAGTAGAGACGCTGGCATTCTGCTACACTAAGCTTCTACTTTAATATGCAATAAGAGTAGTACTATTGAATATTTTAATACTTAAATGCACACACCGTACTGCAGAGCACAAAGTTACACAGGATATAGTCCCCTCCTTTAAGGAGGGAAGGTATCTTGTATAATGAAAAGCTACAAGAGAAAGCAGTACCTGCTAAATTTCATACAGGACAGCTAAGTCCTGATCTAACCACAGTTCTAAAAAAAAAGGGGGGGGTGACTTCTAGTTAGAGAAATCAAGAATGCCAGCATTCATTGTATAAACACTTACCAAACGGAATTATGAAAGATGATGTTGGGTCTGCGAAAAATGCAAGTAATTTATTAGAGTTGAAAGCACAGGAACAGAAGCATGTCAAATGACAGATGATCTGGAAGGAAGGTAATGGCTAGCTCAAAGCAGCTGGTGCCATTTACACGGAAGAGGTTCACCTTGATTCATCGAAGATGTGGCTGCATCTGAGGTAGGTCAGACAGATGAAGACTCCGTACGTAAAAATGAAGGGTGCTGACAGAGGAGCGGCATGAGCGAAGGTCAGAGCACTCTACCAGAGGACGCACAGTAACGGAGACTGGTCAGAGCACAGCGTCTGTGCTAGAGCCAGCGAGAGACGACCGGGGAGTCAGGCAGGAGATGGTAGGAGGCCAGCACTGCTGGCCAAGGGGACAGATTTTATCTGCTAGGCAAGCAGGAGGTTCCTGGAGGCTTCCGACAAGGGGGTGCTACTGAGATGTGTGCAATGGGTGGCAAAGCAAAGAAGGTGCCCAATGAGGAGGATGGTATGATCTAAAAGAGATGTGAACTAGACTCATGGCAATGGGAATGGAAATGAAGGATCTGATGCGAGTAATGAAGTAAAGGGAGAAGAGACAAGGACTTGGCAGCTGAGTATGTTACAGTTTGTTAAGAAAAAGGAAGAGTCAATAATCACGGACATTTTGAATCTGAACGAATACGTGATGGCATAATGAGCAGAAAAGGGTAAATAAAAACAAGGAACTGATTGAGAACAACAGAAAAAGAGACCATAAAGAATCATTACTTTTCTTTTCTTTCTTTCTTTTTTAATCTCTATACACAACATGGAGCTCGAAATCACGACCCGGAGATCAAGTCACAAGCTCCACTGGCTGACCCAGCTAGGAACCTCAAGAGTCGTTACTAAAGGTATTTTAGATTTTGTATGTTTGAGGGGCTTATCTGGCGACCTAGGGGAGATGTTTACACAAGCAGACAGAAATGCAGCTCAGAAGAGATACTGGGTGGAGGCTAGGTGCTTCAGAACCGTCGTTCATTTATTCTTCACAGTGGCCTTGTGACGGAGGCAGTAAGAAAACAAACAGGCTCAGAGAAGTTAGGAAATTCAAACCCAGGGACACCTGGGTGGCTCAGTCGTTAAGCATCTGCCTTGGGCTCAGGTCATGATCCCAGGGTCTTGGGATCAAGTCCTGCATCGGGCTCCTTGCTCAGTGGGGAGCCTGCTTCTCCCTCTGCTTGTGCTCTCTCTCTCTCTGCGTCAAATAAATAAAATCTTAAAAAAAAAAAAGAAAAAGAAAGAAATTCAAACCCAGGTTACCCGGTTGGTAAGAGGTGGTGTCAGGACTCAAATTCCTGTCCTTTGATTGAATCTGGTATTCTTTCTAATACATGACGCTGCCAGAAGTAATTATATTGGTACACCTCTCTCTCCTTTAGTAAATAGTAAGCTTTTTGTGAGACCCACCTACATGTTAATCGTCTTTGAATGTCTAGTACTTAGTACACTGCCTTTTGCTCAACTGTTTCCCAATTTAGCTGGGCGTCATTTAAATAGCTGGTATCAGTATTGTGGGGCTGGCTGAACTCTCCAAAGCACAAACTGCATATAGCAAAGAGAAGGCTGTCATGAATGGAACTGTGGAACATCCCAGTCTCAATGGGGACAGGGAAAAAGGGGTGACAAGTGGTCACACAGATGCAGCAAAACCAGGAGGGGTAGTGCCAACAAAGCAAGGCCGTGAGTGCCAAATGCTGTACAGACATCAGGGGAGATGAGGACTGATCAGAATACGCTTTAAAAATCAGAAATTAACAAGTCAATTCAACCTTCAGACGCTGAAGGAACAGGTTAAACTGTAAGGAGTTAAGTGCCGGTAGTAAGAAAGCCCCAATCAACGTTGACTATTCTCAAGGAGTCTGATAGAGATACTGCTTATCTATTTCTCTTTTACCATGAGATTCTATTAACTATTTTGAAAAAATGAAGGAAGAAAATGTGATGGTTCAAATATGTGCTAAGATTCAGGGGAAAAACTAGGATTTCTGGGCATGTTGATAAGTAGCAGAAATGCAGCAGGGAAAGAGAAATTAAAGGAGGTAGACGAATGGACGTAACTAACAAAATGAGATCCTGGCAGAAGCTAAGGAAACAGGTTAGGGCCACGGGGCACCCCCTGCAAGCGAGGGACACCCAAGCGCAGGGAAGAAGGAAGAGGAGGTAAGAGAGCAATTGTGAGCCTCGAGGTGGTCTGGTGAGATCTGAAAAGGGAGCAAGCTCCCACCGGAGGGGGGCGGGGGTCCCCATCCTTGCAGTCAAGGTTAAGGCAAGGCTGATCCACTAACAGTGGGAGTCGTGGGGGTAGGACTGAAGGCTTCTAAAATTTAGAGACAGTCTGGAACAGTTGGCACGAAGAATGTGGTAGGAATTAACAAGATGTGAGTAAAAATACTGCCGAGGAGGAAGGGCCTCCTCGAGATCAGAGAACGAATCTGTAATGACAGGTAAATGATCAAATGTCCCCAAATTATTCTAAACCATACTTTTAAAAGATTCAACATAAACATAAAAAATATGTCAGCTCACTGCTGGCTGGACTTGGTAGGGTAATGTAATCTTTTTAAAAAGCAATCGGGCAATACATATCAAGAGCTTGAAACATTTGATCCCCTTGGACTAATACCCTTTCGAGGAATCTATCTCAAGGTAACACGCAGGGACTCTGACAAAGATGGCGGCCTGCACAACAGGGCAGTCCAGGGCAGCGCAAGTGCGTGGGACTTGGGCAGACTGGGGTTTGCGTCCTGACGCTGCTGCCTGGCAGCCGCCTGGCAACTCTAAAACTCTGCTTCCCCTCTCTGAGCCTCAGTTTCCTTGCCTGTAAGACGAAGAGGACAATAAGTAGATTCACCAGGTTGTCGTGAGAATTCGAGATAAGGCACGGAAGGGAAAGTAGAAGAGGGCAGTTGTTATAATTTATAAGAGTCTCATAGATTCAAATAATCCCGTAACTGAATGGCTAAGTAAAGTATATTATAATCTCATAATGAAGCACTGTGTAGCCACTAACAATGAAACTTTCAAAGAACTTTAGAAATATTTCAGTCTATAGAATTACTTACTCATCATCTGGAGTGAGCTGGACAGGTTCATTAGTAAACTGAGAATCAAAGTTGTCCAAACCAAATTCCCCAGAAATATTTGGTTTAAAGGGAGGTACCACCTGCTTTTGCTCCATCTAGGAAAGACATATTAGATGACAGCTCAAGCCTACGTTCTCAGAAAAATTCCACCTCTACATTTCTCCTCTGCCCTCAGATGCCTCCTCGGCCTATCCCCGTGAGTTCTCAGCCATGGCTCTACAGTATTCACAAGGATGGAAATCATTTACAAAACTGAACACTGACGCAGGCCTTACTAATATTACAACCTGCTCCATTAAATTAATATTCTAAGCTTTTACTGTTTTAAAAGCTTTTTAAAAAAGCACTTTAGAGAGTGGTTTTAAGTTATTACTAAAGCTGTGATATATTTGTTTTTCAACATTCTTTTAAGATAATAAAATTTGGCCCAAGATAATAATGAAACCTAACATAGAAAACAATGAAAATTTACATACCATATCCCAATCAACATTTCGAAAGAATGGGTGTCCCTGAATATCAGCAAATCCTGTTTGAGGATGACAACCCAATCGTTCCTTTGGGTCCTACGGTGGGAAGAAATGTTTCAAGAAGTAGGTGGATATCATGTTTTAGAATAAATCATCTTTGTGACCTGGGTTTCGTGTCTATTGCATGATACCTTATATCTGAAATCAGAATGGTCTACCTTTCATTTCTACATAGTACAACACTAGACTTAAATGAGTATCTGAAGCCTGTGACAAGATTTCCTCATGGCTCTCTCTAGCTATCATGTGATTATAGTGGACATAGGTCACTACTCCTTGCTAAAGAAAATGGGAGGAAAAGCAGCAGAATCTGGGCGCCTGGGTGGCTCAGATGGTTAAGCGTCTGC